TATGCTATCTCTGCCAGGCATTGCTCTAAGCCCTGACAAGTATTAATTCATTTAATCCTCTGAACTCTATGATGTTTCTACTATTATCATCCCCATTTTTCAGACTTACAAAAAGAATGGACGCACAGAGAAGTTAAGTAAGTTGTCCAAAGTCACACAGTTCGTAAGCGCGGTTGGGGGGACCCAAACCCAGGTAATCTGGCCAACTAAGGTTGTAATGCTATTAGATGTGGTCTGTCATGTAACCAGCCACGTGTAGCAGCTACCTTAAAAGTATTAGAGTTTGAGTGTTCTTGTCCTTTGGGGAAAGCAATGTCATATCCCGATGGGGAGACTGTTGACTCAGCACCTTTGATTTTTGGAGGTGGAACTTGAATTAAGCCTTGAAGTTGAATAGGTTCTCCTAGGAGGAGGGACAGCAGGGTATTATGGGCATAACATCACAGAAGCAGGAGTCTCAAAGAGTGCAAGATCTGTGTTGATTTGTAAGTGCCACAGAAATAAAACTGTGGGCAGTCCGGTGGTAGACTCAATTCACACGCTTCTGTGTCTAACTGTGGCTAAGTTTTGGCGATATTGTAATTACTCCAAATAGAGAATTGTCTGAATGTAAGAGCTTATAACAGTGTTCATCAAACTTTGTCTGCAAAAGGCAAAAGAGTAAATATTTTATTCTTAGAAAAAGGGGGCAAGTGGTAAGGGGTGACCTCTGAGAAGCACGCAGGGGCCTGCTTATGTAAGGATTTTGCAGGCCATGGTAGCGTTTGGATTTTTCTGTGTTACTGTTGCAGCAGGGATACCAGGTGACTTTAACAATGGAGAAGTAAAGAGCATAGTGTGTGGAGGCAGACTCTTCCACTTAAGAGCTATGAGACCTGGCTAACTTACTTAAATGTTCTTTGCCTGAGGTTTCTCAGAAGGAAAATGGGGATAATAATATAACCTACCCCATAGGGTTGTCAGTAAATTTACAAGATAGAAAACCTAACCAAGAAAATGAGAGAAAGTGTAAATTAAGACAGAAATAATGGATGACTGTAAAGTGTGATTTTGGTAAACATTGTGTAATTATGATGAAACAATTATCCTTCTGGGCTTGTCAAAACAGCTCAAGAAAAAGTAGGATAATTAGAATAGATCAGTAACCATGGGAGAACTTACAAGGTATTGTAAAATCTGGGCCCAGACAGTTTTTATAAACTCCTTCAAACCTTTAAGACACAGAAATTCTGGTGTGACGTAAGCTTTTTCAGAGGATAGAAAGAGATGGATGTCTTCCTAATTAATTTTGCAGAACAATTTTGATACCAAGAGGTAATAATAATGTCTTAATATTGGTTCATTAATTGTGAGAAATGTACCATCTCACTAATGTAAAGGTCTTAGAGGTGCAAACAATTTCTAAATAAAATACCAACAAATCGAATGTTGTTCTCCATGACCAACTTGGCTCCCTCACTCCAAGAATATTAAGAAATGTATTAATATTTTGCATCAGTTGATCCAAGGACATTCAATTATCTGATGTCAGAAAACTCATTTGGTACTATTTATTAACTGTACTGGTTTTAAAACTATACGCAGGACCAGGAAGATGCTTCCTTATTGTGGTGTAGAACATCTGGCTGACTTCAACAGCCCTCTTTAGAGGGAAGAAGGGAAAAAAGAAAAAAGACAAAAAAAAAAAAAAAAAAAAAATTGTGAGAAATGTAGCATGTCACTAATGGAAGGGCTTAGAGGTGCAAACAATTTCTAAATAAAATACCAACAAATTGAATGTTGTTCTCCATGACCAAGCTCACTCCCTCACTCCAAGAGTATTAAGAAATGTATTAATATTTTGCATCAGTAGATCCAAGGACATTCAATTATCTGATGTCAAAAAACTCATTTGGTACTATTTATTAACTGTACTGGTTTTAAAACTATACGCAGGACCAGCTAGATGCTTCCTTAGTGTGGTGTAGAACATCTGGCTGACTTCAACAGCCCTCTTTAGAGGGAAGAAGCAGGAGAATTTTCAAATATGGGTCCCCTCTGCTTCTTTGACCCAGTGTTTCTACTTCTAGGAATTTATCCCGTACAGTCAATTGCACAGGTGCAAGACTGTTTTGCAGTGTTCTTTGTAGTAGTAAAACTTTAGAAGGAACTTGACTATCCATTAACTGGGAACTGTTTAGATAAATCATGCCATATTTACAAGATACGATATTGAGAAGTTCAAGTGACCGTGGTGTATCTGAAGATATCAATTTGGAAAGACTTCTCCCTCCATAGATTACTTTTGCCTGTTTTTGAGCTGTATCTCAATCGAATCATATACTACATTCCCTTTTGCGTCTGGTTATTTTCATCCAAGGTTATGGTTGTGAAATTCACCCTTGTTGTGTTCAGGAAGCAGTTCATTTATTTTCATTGCTATGAATCTTCCTGTGTGTGAATACGCAATGTAATTACTAATAGCTTCTATTAGAAAAAAAAATGAGCTGAACAAGTAAAATTTGGTTGAAGTTACAGCCCAAATTGGAGGAATTTAAGAATTTGAAATGTCTCCACATTGGTCTGCATTTATCTAACTTGAGAGTTATTCTCCCATCTTCTTTACCTCCTTTTGATTTTTTTCCTTTGGGGACTTTGGTCACTAGTGTCTCTACTATGGAATGAAAGGGAAACAGGAAAGAGATGAAACCTGAATCCCCTAATTGTGCTTCTCCTTATGCTGTGGCTCAGGATGGATAAAGCGAATTAGCTCTTTCATTAACGTGCCCCTCCCAGTCACTATGAGGCAGGCGTTCAAATCCAATCTCTAGTACAAGATATAGTGCGATTTTGTTGCAGTCAGTGTCTCCTTCCAGTTCCGTCGTTAAATGACTCAGAGACATAAGTGAACCTTCATAATTCTAGATTGTTTGGCTTATATTTCAAATCCATTGATTTAGGTTTAATATATTTTTAAGTAATAAGGCAATCATAATTTTGGAACAGAAATGGACCTTAGAGATAATCTCAACTGGTTTTCACCAGGCAGACGAGGAGGTGGTGTCCATAGTAGTACACATAGAGGCAGGGGCCCATTTCGGAATAGACCCCAGGTTTACATTTTGGAGGCGTGCTGCCTCCCTTAGAAAAAGCTTTTTTGACCTTCTTTTCGAAAGCACTTAGCCATTGTGTTCTCTTGTTTATTTGTTTCCAGCATTTAATCTGTAGACTTAAAGTTGCAAAGCATTTTCTTCACAATTTAGAGTTGTGTTTGATTTGATTCTTATTCCTGGTCACGGGCAGTATAGCCCTTCAGACGTTAAAGACTTATGCTAAATCCTCAATGGAAGAATTCTTGTTTTGTCATTCTCAAAAATTCAACCAGGACTCCAATTCAATTTGAAGCAGCATTCTGAGAGTACATCCATATTAAGATTATTAATGTAGTAAGTGTGTAAAGTCACCTTTTTATTCATTGCTTTTTAGGAGTAGACGGTTAACCAGTCTTAGGTGATTAAGCAGTTTCACCAATAATCCCTCGAGTGAGTTTAAAATTAATTAGGCCCAACTCAGAGGCAGTGGAGTTTCTTCTACTGCACACAGGAAAAGATGTCTAGCCCCTCCAGTGAAATCGATGTCGTTTGTATTTCAGATTGAATGTTCGTCTTTGTCCTTCTCTCTGTGCTATACTCATTTTATAAATTGAGGTTAATTTCACACAGTGAAATGTATAGATCATAAGTGTCTTTTTTTGTCATGAGTTTTGACAGTGAATATAAAGCTTCCATGAACATTCATGTGTAAGTCTCTTAGTGAACATTTACTTACGTTTCCTTTGGATCAATACTTGAAACATGAATTGCTAGGTCGTGGAACTGATTTAAATTTAACTTCAGGAGTATCGTCCAGTTTTTCAAAGTGGCCGTGCTCTTTTTACATTTCTCTTACATTTTGCTATGTTTCTTAATCCTTGGAGCTGAATCAGAATATAGATTATTAAACTACATGTAATTTGGCTGAGCAGAAAACACATTTATTTAGTTATCAAAGGATGTGGATATTAATGCTTTTTAAGTAGCCTGGGCAAGTCTCTGAACTTCTATCAGTCTGAATCTGTTTGTCTTTAGAGTTAATGTTAACTGCCTACCAAGAGTCATTTTTTTTTCTGATATAATTATGTGAAAGCACTTTGAAAAGCACAAGGCACAATGCAAGGATAAGAAGGTATACATGTATAATACTAATCTGTCGCCCATACCATATTATTTTGGTTACTAATCAGTGTAAGGCCAATTCGGGTCATTTCTAACATGTATTTTGAAGCAAAGATATACATAGCTACCAAGTGTGTTTATTTTTAGATTATTTGTAGAGTTCTTAAATCATTCTTAGAATAAAGAGTCATTGTACTGAAATTAAATGATTATCTACTGTCTGTTTACTTACAGATTTACCCTGTTTTATTCCAAAAAATGTTTTCAGGTGATTTAGAGATGAATTTACCAAGAAAAATAGGTGTTTAAGTGTTTCATATTTTGTCCACAGCATGGCACTGTTAGACTATATCAAAACGAAAAGCCGTGTAACATTTAGTTCTTTGTTCATGGTTAGAAATACTTGCGTTTAAAGCAGTTGTGGTGCTGGAAGACTAGTCTTTCTGCCCTGAAGTACATGAGAGGTCAAGGTCAATAGAAAGTGGTATCTTAAGTGTAGTTGGGTGAATGAGAACACAGCCCTGCAAGCACATCTTTTCATGTAGTGATAGTATGTGCAATGGGCAAGGGGCCTTTGATATCACAAGTAGGTCTTTGGAGCTTCTCGAGAGTGAAATCGGAGTCCCCAGCCTTTCTTTCAGTTCTGTCTCTCATCTTTCCTTTTAATTTATTGGTAAATCGTCCTCAGATAAGAACACGAATACCTACTTATGGTGATGGTGATGACACTGTTCTTTATGCATATCAATGAAAAACTGCAGATATCAAAGACATAAGTAATATTAACTGCTAGTTGCCAAATATATTAAAACTTACCATTTTAAAGAAAAAAGATTTAAATTCCTCACATACTATAGAGTTCGTCTGAACTCACACTCGAGAAAATATTTCTCTCTCCTTAATTTGTATGGGTTCCTTCATTACCCAAGGAGCACTTAAATATATTACTTCGACCCTTTTGTTGTATACTAGGAAATTCAGAGCCGTTTTCACCTCAGTTTCAGTATAAAAGTCCACACCTAGGTTGTTAGGCAGTGATAAATTCTTTCCTTGCCCCCTTTGTTAATTGGCCATTATCATTTTCCCTCTCATAGTACTGTGAATTTTTGCTTTATGTCTGCTTCGGTTTAAGACTTCTGAAACCCTTTGAAGAGTTGGTGAAAAATAACAGCAATTTTAATAGATAACTATTAAGTATTTTCCCCCTAGTGTCCAATTTGGTTCTTACAGAAATAAGGCATTAACTACTTCCTATTCAACTTAGGGGGGAAGTGTTCCGAGTGACACATCCAGCAGCAAAGAGCAGCAAAATCCACTAATGGATATCCTGACCCACTTGCAGGTATGAAACTTCTTTCTCTACAATATAATTCTCTAAAATGTTAGGTAAAAATTCTTTTTATCTCAGATAAAGTGTACAATTAAGTGAAATTTTGCAGCATCGAATTATTTTTGTCGATCACCCCATTGTGAGGATTTCTAACAATTTCTACTTAGAACAGCATCTCCAGGTGAAAATTTAAAAATAGCGATAGATTTTATAGCTTTTTTTTACAAAAAAGAAAAAAAAGGCCATTACTGCTCAAATGTAATTGTGTCTCTTTTATCTGGATTGCTCAATGTTGAATTAATTTCAACTACAGAATCTTTAAATTAATTGGCTGAGTTGGATGAAATTTAGTATGTGCCTAAATGCATATGACGATAACTCGACTGAAACAAAATACCAGCCAACCAGTGGTTTTTAGAGTATATCTTACGTAGTTTCAAGGTGCTTTTTGTCTTGCTGTTGCTTTTAAGTTAGCATGTTGATAGAGATTGATAGAGGTGTGTGTTACCAGGAATTTTGTGAGCTGCATACCCCAGGGAGAATGAAACTTTATAAAAAATACATGTTTCTTGCCATATAAAATTTCTTGAACAAAACACGCTACACACTTTGCAAAGTAAAGGTGTTGGGGTAAGTGTTCAGCAGTATTCTTACTGAGATCAGAAGTGGAGTGCTCAGCAAGGACACGTGTTTTCTTGTGGGGAAGGGTGTGCGGAGGCGGGCGGTAGGAGGCAGAGGGCTCTGCTTTGAGCGGGGCTCTCCCTGGCCTGCCTTAGCTTTACCTAAGCATCCTGGAGGCCAAGGTCTGCACTGCTCGGCCAGGGGCCCCCTAGGCAATTGTGCCAGCTCGGGTGGGGTCAGCGTCTGGCATGAGGAGGGCCCAGGTTCCAAAGTCACAACGTGAAATGGGCCATCACGGCTCCTGTCCCTTCTCCAAATAGGCTGGCTCTGTCCTTCCTCCACCTCCTTCCAAACTACTTCAGCGTTGTCGTTTTCTTCTTCCCTCAATGGAGCGTGGCATCCGCTTTAGTCCACCCCATCCCTGTGCAGGCTGGGAGCAGAGGGGACGCCGTCCTCCTGTGCCTGCTGTCCCCTGCCTGGTAACCCTCTACCAGCCCAGCCAGCCCCCTGCTCCGTGAGCTCCACACCCTCAGTCCTGCCTCTTCTTTTCTGGAGGCAGTGGAGGGCCTGGAGCAGTGATCCCTTCTGAGTTCTGATTGCTGTCCCCATAGTCAGCACCCTTGCCCGAACCCATCCTTCTTCTGACCCCCTTCCCGACCAGTGAAAAGGGAAAGGGTCCTGTGCTGTCCTGGGCTGGGCTCTCACTGGTGTCTGTGTCTGGCCCACTTCCCTGTGCTCAGACACCTGCCTCCATCGGGCATCTCTCTGTCTCCAGCCCTGTCCGTATCATCCTTCCCCTCAGCTGACTTTCCCACAGCTTTAAACACAGAACCACTTGTCCTGGCCTCCCACCCTCTTTAGCCATCGCCCTTGCTCTTCTCCCCTCGAAAACCCAGCTCCTTGAATGTCACTTATATCCGCTGTCTGAACGCCTCGCTTCCTGCTCTCTTGCTGTTGGGGTATTTTTGAATATGCTGCTCCTTCTGCCCTGTACGCCCTTCCACGTGACTTCACCAGGCGAATGCCTTCTCATCTTTATTTCTCATCTTCTCTGAAAGCCTCCCGTGACTGCCAGCCTGTGGTAGGTCTCCTCTTCTGTGCACGTGTAGCCTCCTGTTCTCACCTGTGCCCTGGCCCTGGTAATGGTAATAATAATAATATGAGTAGACTGTTGAGCACCATTGGACCAGTCCCATGCAGTATTGTTATAGTATTAGCGTAATATAGCAAGGTTCTTGTCCTCAAAAGAACCGTGAGATGTATTTTTCTCCCGATTGTGGACATGAGGAAATTGAAGCACAGAGAAGTTAAGTAACTTGCCCAAGGTCACACAGTCAGAACTCTAGTATTTGAATGCAACCTTGTGCCCTAGAGCCTGTACTGTTTGCCTCAGTGCCGCAGCCAGTGGTTCTCACACTTGAGCGTGTGTCAGAATCCCCTGGGGGGGCTTGTGAAATCCCAGCCCACTGCCCCCACCCTCAGAGCTCTGCATTCAGTAGGTCTGGGGTGGAGCCCGAGAGTTTGCATTCCTAAGAAGCTTGCAGGTGATGTTGCTGCTGCAGGTCCGGGGACCACACATTGAGGACCCCTGTTCCAGGCTGTCAATCACTTTATTGAAATTGCCTGTTGTCTCTCTCCGCAGCTAAGAGGAGAGTTCCACCAGGACAGGAGCCTTTTCTCCTTTATGTCCATGTTCCCAGAACCTAGGAGGGTAGTTCTGTCAGGTGGTATGACCTCAGTAAATGTTTACTTGAATGAATGAATGAGGAAATGTTTCTGATCTGTTATTTAGCTGTGTTTTTTGCCAGAAATTTCTGTGTATTTCAAGAAGAATTCTCAGATTTTTATCAGTCACATATCTGATTGGCATACAGGGGACATGCACTTAATGGTTTTGTAAGGTTAACTGTTGACTGCATGATTTTAAAATATTTGAATACAAAAACCACGATTAGCTTATTGTTCTTTCTAAAGCAGAGAACACAGTCTTCTCAGTTCATAACTCATTACAGTCATGTGCCACATAAGGACATTTTGGTCAACAGTGGTCCACATGTTAGGATGGTGGTCCTATAGAGGATAATGGAGCAGGGTGTGTGTGGTAGGCTCTATCATCTAGGTTTGCGTAATTATACTCTATGATGTTCACGTAAGGGAGAAATGGCCAAATGATCCATTTCTCATAATGTGTCGTCATTGTTATTTAATGCATGCATGTATCTGGGAAGTGACTTTTTGGCCTTGTAGCAGATTTGAACACTCCTTTCCTAAAATAGCACCTTCCTTGGTGTGGAATGACTCCATGATAAATGTGATGGTTAGAGAAGTTGTGCTACATTCACTTTCCAGCACCGAAGCTTCTTTCAAAGCCTACCTGGAGTAGAGGAGTATAGCAGAAAGTTGGGGTTTCTTATCTCAGCCAGTTTGGCTCTGTGTCACCAACAACCAGGTCTAAATTAGGAAACAAGACATTTCTCATGCCTTGAGTAATTTCGTGGTGTCTAGGTGTTAAAAGTTGGTTTCATGGTATTTTCACATATGTTGGTTTTCTTTTGAAATAAGCACTACTAATAGTTTGTATTATAATAGGGGATAGATGAAGCTATTCAAAACCTGGATGAGAAATTTGATGTCATTCATGCAAACGTTTCAAACATCGACCATCTCCGTGCAAAATCAGTGTGGCAAAAACGTGTAAGTGTTATTAAAAATATTGTCACTGGGGCCGGCCCGGTGGCGCACTGGATCAGTGCGCCGCTTGGGAAGTGCGGCGGCGCTCCCGCCCGAGGGTTCAGATCCCACATACAGACCGGTTCCCGCTCACTGGCTGAGCGAGGCGCGGGAGCAACACCGAGGGTTGCGATCCCGTTGCCGGTCCCCGGTCCGGTATGGGGGCAACACTGAGGGTTGCGATCCGTTGCCGGACATGGAAAAAGACAAAAAAAAAATAAAAAAAAAAATTTTGTCAAAACTGGGAAAAACCTCTGGTTT